CCCGCCGCAGCAAACCTGCAGACTAAGCGAATTTCAACTTGTCCGATTACATTTTTACTAAAATATTTCCATAAATAAAGACATATTTATTCCCTATTTAAATAACATTAGATTTAACGAGTGCTTAGGTTGGCTGCTACGGGGAAGGTAAATACCCCCGCCGCAGCAAACCTGCAGACTAAGCGAATTTCCATTTGCCTGATTGGATTTAGACTAAAATGTCTCCTTAAAAATATCACATTTATTCCCTATTTAAATAGAATCAGTTTAACACATACTTAGGTTTGCTGCAACAGGGAGGGTAAAAGTGTGTTTTATGTAAAATGTTAATAGTTGGTAAGAAATAAAAACATTTTCCAAATTTGGGCAAAATATGTTAATAAACGAGCAAACTACAACAGTTTACTCCATAAGAATAACATGGGAATTTTAAATTTACAATTTTTTGGAATTTTCTCCGTAACCATTAGGCGCATTATAACGCTTAAATATACTAAATTTTTGTGTTTTTTTTAAGCTCTACAAAATAGTTTAGAAAGAAATTGCAAAATTTTTTGTTTTTAGGGTCGAAAATGGGAAAACCCCATTTTTACGCGCTAACGGACATATATATATATATATATATATATATATATATATATGAATTTGAACGGATGGTGTTTTTGGCCTCTAGGGACCTCAAAATAAAAAATTAAATGGGTCCCGGGTCCAGGTCTTACCATGAGTACTACGATAATCGCTTATTCCCTATATGGGAAATTCGCTAAAAAGAAACCAAGCTGGTATTTTTTACAGCAGGAGACTTTTTACTAGATACAGTAATTGCATTAGGGCGAAGAGATCTATATCTACATTAGCTGTATAGAATATTCAATTTAGATTACATCACGATTAGCATTTTCCTAATTTGATTACAGATGAAGTTTATCATCTGGTATCATCCTTTGTAATATACATTCGGTTACCAAGGGGGAAAAGGACATTAGTTTTATATTTATAAAAGAATATAATGGTTTACCTTAATCATCGTTAGCAAGCGTATCACAAGAACATTGTAATGTATTCATACACAAATGACAATTATACTACCTAATGATCTTGATTTTAAACTAAAAAGCTCTCATATAATAGATAGCTATATGACACACCAGATGATCTCATCCATGTAACATCAAAAATACTGTAGTAATATTTCTTCCCATTGTGTCTCATAATCTATAACTTCACAAAGAAAAAGAAAACAAGAAATAAAAGACAATATTGTATTTATCGACGGAGAATAGAAATCACGACAATAGGCTTGTGATAAGACCAATATGACGTCAGCCATAGAGAATGGCTTATTAGAGCACTGTTTGTTCTGAGAGGGGGGAGGGGTACGAGAGGGGGCCCCAGGGCACTCAAAACTAATCGAGAGGCGCGAGCCACGCTGAGAAAATAAATACTATCTAAATCGGGGCTACAAATGAATCACTGCCACTTGCTCCCCTTGCCCTTTCGACTTCCAACCCCTAACTAGGTTCAAGGGATGGGTATTTGCTGGTGGTGAGTATGGGGACCGAGCTTTGCGTGAGCAACAGGATGAATGAGATTTTGGCAGGAAAGTGTATTTGTTGGTGCATAATTCATGTTCGCGGTGTATGCAGGATTAAATTTCAGGAAGGATTAGAGACATAAAATAATTGTTAACATAAATTCTTTGTATTATCTCAAGAAATAAATTATGTCACTATGTCAGTTACAGGGGACCAAGCTTTGCTCGGTGGCGTTTAATTGTTTAGGTGGGTTAACAATGTAAGCATAAATTTACGATTTCAAACGGATGTTGGTTTGGTTTAAGCTATTTGGCTGTACACCGTGATAAATCGAAAGTTATTTCAATTGCTTATTCATTTGATTAAATTTTCGACTAATTCCAAATGCGGTTTCCTTGTAAAATCAAGTATTCAGCAAAAAGTATTTAATAGTTACCATTTGTTTTAAAATCCCTATGATAGAAGATAGTAGCTCTGTGGCCTTGCTTCTGGTCGTTAGAATACACAAAAATTTATGAGTCTTCGTACTAGACACAAATAATTTTTTATTACAAATCTGCTTAAACAGTTTCGTTTGAACCGGCAAATATTAGTTTTAATGTTTTTCATTTCCAATTATTGATGTTCAATCAAAATCAAATTACTAACATGCTTCAAAATGGCTCGTTAGTTCAATTTGATGATAAATGTCTATTATGCGACTTAACGTGGATAATTGTGATCATGCTTTACTCTCTACATAATTCAATATATTCCCCTATAACAGTTTTACAGTTACAAATCCGTCGATGTACCACGGAGCCGAGGTTTTGTTTTGTTTTATCCGCTCCACCGTTGGAGGATGGTGATAATAAATGTGATAAAGCCGGAGTTTTTACGACCATCGGAACAAAGACCATATAGATATGATGAAAGCGTTCCATTATTGAAACACGGTTACTTTTGAGATACGATGCAAAAACCGCTTTTATAGCTCACGTTGCCGAAACGCCGCTTAGAGCTTTTATATTTACAATTTCACTAGGGGATAAAATAAAAAAAAATTTATTTTTGCATTTTTGCACATTACGTATGTAGGTAAACTCAATTCATTCAAATAGATCATCGTGTATCATCGTGTTAAACAGTAGGCATTTATTTAATATATATACATATATATATTTATATATTTAAATTTTTGTTGGCTAATCTAAGAGAGTGACATGTTATACAACAGCTGATTAAGTTGTGAAAAGATGTCCTTTAATTACAGCTGCGCTTAATCATGAAAAAAATAGAACCTTGTAGTGCCTCGTGAATTTGTTATGATATGTATTTTGTCGCTGCATCAATTGGAGGTTTGAGGTTGATACTCACCATGTCAGTTGATTGCCATTGCTTTACCCTCAAACCCCTATTAAATTTGCCTCAATCATTTTAATTTCAAAATACTGTCTAAAATATAGAAGGTAAAAAAAAATTTCTGACTGCCCCCTTATCACAGTGTAAAACACAAAAATGCCACCTTCATGGATACTAAGAAAAAGGAAAATAATACTACTGGATAAAGATGTTTTTGGCTGAAATTTTAGAACATGAAAACGTAGCGTACAAGAATAATATACACGAAAAATACTAAATACTATTTAAACTTTGCATTTAGTAACTTGAATCAAATTTTTGAATACTTTAAAATCGTCGATTATCTTCAAGAACACAAACCACTCCTTGGCAACTTGTCAATACAAATTAACACTCGAACACAAGTGTAATAGAACGAGGTTGGTATTGGCGGTTCGTCTAACCATTGTTGTCGACCAAAACAGCTGTGATAGTGTCACTGTTGGCGGATCTCATTGTACCAACACAACAACCTGTTGTCTCTACTTCCGGTGCTGACCTTAACACAAGTGTTTAGATCCTATTCAAGGGCTAAAGGACATGTATATAGATCGTGTGTTTTCATATGATGACGTTTTTGCGTTATTTTGTCAAGCTGCAAAAGGATATTTGATCATATTTTGACTAAATAACATTTCTTATATATTTTACATTTTCTTTATTATGATGATTATTATTAAATATCACCGATGTGTCCATTTAGTGAGCTAAATACTTACTATATTAAATGCTTATATACCGAACTATTTTTAATACTCTCTCTTCTCAAAATAGCAAATATTTTTACAAAACAACCTACGTTTTAGGATCTAAATAATCATGGTATAAACGATGAGTAAATAGTATATTATTTCATCACTAGGGCGTAAAACGACTCTTTTCAACCCGAGCTCAAGTTCATGATCGAGGCAAAGCCGAGGTCAGAAAATGAGCGACATAAGCTAAAATGAGCTAATGCAAATAAGCAACTATAGTTCGGCCGCTTAGAAAACGGGTCGCCGGAAGACTGCCCCCCGGAAAACTACCCCCCCAAGCAGGTTCCTACGTCATATTGACGTCAGAGACCGGGGGGGGCAGTTTTCCAGTCACGGATACTCAAATTTAGTTGTAAAACAGTTCTAATCTAACCTAACCTAACCAACCAAACTTGCTGTAACATTTTGAAAATCTGTTTTATATTCACCACATGCCTTTTCTATTATCCAACGGAATTACTTGAATTATAATTAAAATTACATACCGTGATTTGTCTAGGGGGGGTAGTATTCCAGTCGCGGACACGGCTTCCATATTGGTTAGTTAGCAGGTTTTGTGACGTCACGTTTCACCTGGGGGGTAGTTTTCCGGGGGATAGAATTCCGCATCCCCTAGAAAACGACCTGCGCGCTAATGCTAAGCCAATGCTGGAGGAGGTCGTTTTCTAAGCGGACGACCTATACCTAAGAAACGCAACGCATGCACTAAAAACGGCTGTTTTGCTGCAGTATGACGAAAAAACTATTTAATTGTTACCTTTTGCAAAATTGTTGATGTGGTAATATCGTTGATAGTCGTTGAATTGCTTTAATTTCCTCAATGCTGTGTTTTCAATTCCAAACTCTTCCCCGATATTTTCTTATTTTACCCTTTGCTATTTACGAAAAGGTTTGGGTTTGTATAAAAGTTGCAGAAAATACAAACTAATTTTTTTACATTTTAGGATTTCAAAATCATGACTGGCTGGGTAGCTGAATGGTTTAAGTGCTCGCCTAACGACCAATAAAATAATAATATGTATGAGCACTAATCAATCCAAATTCTAATTCTAAATTCTAAGCTAATGATAATTGTGTGTTCATGTTTAGATGTTAAACAAGGTCGCCGGTTTGATCCAGAAAAAAGTCAGTAGCTTTTTAAGGTTCGCAACTGGACACAGGTGTTAATTTGACTTTAAATAAATGATTCTGACTGATGAAACTAGTGATTTTAGACAGATCATCTCACAACATTCTACACTCATATTGGGGTTAAAATACGCACCTAGGGGGCATTCCCATCTCATAATGATAATGCTAATGATAATAATTAGTTTGTCTGTGTCCCCAGAGCGCTTCACATGAAGGAACACCCGGACTATAAGTACCGTCCCCGCCGGAAACCCAAGTCCCTGGTTCAGAAGAAGGAGGTATCCAAGTACAACGGCTTCACCCTGGACCCTGGGCAACTTCCGAGGAGTCTGCTGCCTCCCCCGCCTCCTCTGCTGCCCCCGGACGCGGACCTCAAGTTCCCGAGGACGCTCTTCCCTCCGTTCCACTACCCCTTCTACCACGCCGCCAAGATGCACGCTGAGGAACTTGGGAGTGAGTATGGACATTTTGGAAACATAACGCATCAAGTCAATTTCGGGTGATTAGTATTCGCCACCCATATCGACTAGCTATAGTTTTTTTATATTTGAAAATAAAAACTCAGGTTATGGTCCTGTTTCTCCATAAAAACAATGCGGATTCTAATCAAGTCTGTCCCCACAGGTAAGTAGTCTAAGATGTTTTAACTTTCTTCTTTCTACTTTGAGAAAATATTACCTACTCGTCAAATTAGACCACTGGTCTGTCCAGTGATATTCTTTCAAATAAGTAGCATTACGGTATGATATTATGTAGTAGTGATCAGACATCATCCGGTCAGTCTCGGACCAGCGATGTCTCGCTTAGGAGTTTAAGACGCTATCGCGTTCGGTAGCTAATTCCAGAAATTTGTATTCAGTGTTATAGCTATACTTTATTAATGACAAATGTTTGAATTACACATTTCAAAATGTAATACCACTCCCTACAGATGGTAAGATGGCGGCGGACCTAGCACTCCAGGCCCTCTACGGCAGCTCACTGTACTCTCACGCAGCGGCTGCGGCGGCCGCCTCCTGGCCAACGTCTCTCACCTCCACCCCGGCCTCCCTGGTACCCTGTGGCTGCCCCTCGGACACTCCACCCAGCCCCACGGGCTCCGACGTCAAGCGGCCCGTCGCCTATCTGCTCATGAAGCCCGAGGACAACCCGCGCTACTCGCCTCAACACGTCATATGAAGACCGCTCCCAGTCCTCCCCGAGGTGAGCAAAAGACCTGGTGGCCGAGCTTTGCTGAATATTACACTTTTTGCCAGCATAAAAGCGCTGTACTAACGTGCTTAGTGGTTACACGGTACAAGACAAGACATATTGTATGGATGTTTTTGTGACATGATCTCTTAAATACGGTTGTAGGACAGAGAGTCCCCAACCCTCGTGATGATCAAGGGGTCGATCGTTAAATATTTGAGCGAAGGTGGTCAGAGGGTCCCGGTTCTACCCCTCATAGTGTGGGACCCTCTGACCGCTCCTGCCAAGATATTATTAACGATCAGGTTACTGAGATACTCCGATTGCGGGATTACCTAGCTTCGAAAGAAATAATTTTACGCCACACTACATTATTTTGAAGAACCCACGCAAGGACTTAGTCCAGAAAACAGCTGTTTGCCACCAGCTTATTCAAATGGGGTTTCATTGCGTACTACTGTACTGCAATGACTTTTAACCGGACACCAATCAGCTGATTATACTGTATTTATGTGGCAATGACTGTTATAAACAAAAACATTAGTGATTTTTAGTCATTTAGTTGGTGGAAATATAACCACCAACCGTAATCCGTAAATCCGTATTCGTACGGATTTAGTAGTATGGCGTAAACTATCGTAAGTAACTCGTCCAAAATGTGTGTACCGAACTCGTAAGGTAATCCCGTACTCGACTTCGTCTCGCACGGGAACGACCACACTCGTCCGGTTAACACATATTTTCAGGACTAGTAACGTAATATACTATTTCGTTTCAATTCTAATATAATCCTTCAAGACAATACGGCATTTTTCTCACCGTATTTTATTTGTACAAGACTATGTCCCAGGAAATTTACATATCTGGTTTTTCAGTACAATTAACAGTGTTTTTTTTTTGTTTACAGGTATCTCGGGGGGGACTGGGCCCAGGTTTATGGCCCCCCTGGTGGGCCCCCAGCACAGCTACTTCCGCCGCCAGTCCCCCAGCACCTCCATGTAGCCCCCCAACATCATCTGACTGAGCCCCTCTACACGAGTCTGGAGACAAAGGTGTATAAGGTTGGCTGAGCTTGGTGTGAGGATGGCGAACTATAAACTGAGATTGTGATAATTTGTGTTTAGAGAATGTGATTTCATGTTAATAATTATTTAGTATTGATTATTTTCTGAAAATTGAGTTAACCAAACCGAAATTTGGATGGTCACCAATAGTATAGTACTGGGAATAATGTATACCTTGTAATTGTAAATTAAACAAACAAGTGTAAAAAACTGACCTAGTTACCAATTAAAATTAACCCTTGTGATTAGTTTTTCGCCGCCTTCTTCATTTAACGATCAATTTCCTTAAATAAAAATAATGCAGATTTATATGTATTCCTTGATTATCCATTTAAGCATAAGCCAATAAGTGTTTTGCTAAATTAATTTCTTGATTATTATTGGATTATTTTCGTTGAGATACAAAAAAAGACTTTCGTCATTTTGGCATACGCAACCAAAAGCGTCAAGTGAAATGATTCCAAGCCATTAATTCATTTGACAGCCTTTGAGGTAAAAACGAATAACTACTTAAAATGTTAGGCTGGTTATGAGTTAGAGTTATTGTAAAACGCGTGGGTGACTAAAGTAAAATCGGAATACTAGTTCTACAATACTTGGGTTTTCAAGCAACGAGTTATCGTTTGTTCATACAATCGAACAAACTTGTTTTCACTTCGTGGAATTGTGAAACGAAATATGAGTTTTTGACTCATCAAATTTTTTATTTATACAATTATTTGCCATTAAATTACGGACAGGTTAACAATCAAATTTCAAATTAACAGAACCCCCCTGTGAAAAGAACCATGATTACGGTTAAAAGGTGGTTTGAATATTTGATAAATTTTTACTTATTTAAAATTTGTGTTGGGCCAATGAAACAACCCTATAAATAAATAATAACATGTTGGTAGTCAAATCTCTGAGAAAATAATGTAAAGTACTAAAATTGACTTTGTCCGGAATTTATAATCTAACTTAAATTAAGTTAAAAAGGTTTAACTTTCTGAAATATTTCATATTAGTTATTTTACGGCAGATATTGATAAATAATTTTTAAAGTAATCTAATAGACATTTCAATTTATTTCAAAATTTAAATTAATAAAACTTTGGAAAAATAATAAACTTGATAAAATGTTAGTATTAATTTAAGATTTAAGATGAGGCAAAACTACCCATTTATGCCGTCCAAGTGTTTACTAATAATTACGGGGAAAAAACTTGGACATAATTTTTGTTTGTACGAAACGTTTTACACAACTTAACAATGCAAAGCAAGTTAGTGTTCTAGGGATGCTACTTGCGAACAGATATATCAGATAGGTATTTAATTTAAAACTCTCTTGTTTATTTTCAACAATGGTTTGTTAATTTTACCAAATCATGGATCTTGATTGTAAATATTTGTTAGGCCTAATTTAGTCTTGTGCCAAAATCAGTTAGGCAGTTTGTTAATTGTTTGTATTGATTTAAATTTTGTTCAACAAATGTTTGTTGTAGTTTTTGGTTATTATTCTTCGCTATTAATTAGTTATGTTCCTGTTATATTACATGTTATTCACAAAGTAGATATAAGAAGGTATTGTTTATGTTTGAAAACTGAATCCTCTGTTTTAGCTTAGGTAATAAACTTTACAAACGTTAAATTTACTTTTCTTATTTAACTTATGTGTTTTTGTTGTTAATTAGAGAAGTTGCTAACTAATTTAGTCAATGGAATGTAATTCAAAATATGATTAATTCTATTCTGACATAAAATCATTGAAAATCATTTATTAATATCAAAATTGTTTTTAAATATAACAATTTCATTAAGTCACATACTTTCAGCGGCGCAATGTATTCTTCTGTACATAATGTTTGTAAATACAGTATTCAAATATCGAAACGTAGCAGTTTCTTTCAATAGCAATGCTATATAATGTGTAAAATACAAATGTACATATTGTAGTGTAGGTGTAAAATACGTTGTTATACGATGAATTGTATATAATGTATACTTTATACGCCCAAGTATATGTTTATTTATAAATAAATAAATTATAACCACACATTTTTTTAGTTTATTGCCTAACTAGTTGCTATACCCATGTTTCAAACGGGGAGAGGACACAAAAGTAGTAATGTGAAATAACAGGACTTAGCTTAAAATAATATAAACAGAGAATTTAAAAAAATGGCTTATTGGGGCTTAAAGAGTTAAGAGTCTTCCTTAGTGGTAGCCATGTTGGATTTCTTCCCCATAAGAACAATGTTAAACATTACATCATTTGTGGACACGTAACGGCGTTATTTGTTAAGATATAGCTTTGAAATTTATAATTTGTATTTTTAACATAATAGACTCGTGACTGAGGTTTTTGAATTTCGAAAATCCATTTTCATTTCCTTTCAATAATTAGCTTAATTTTAAGCTAATTAATAATCAATTATTCATTATACAAATTAAAAATTGTGAAATAAAAAACGCCAATCTCTAGAGGACCGCAATACCTTAAATTTAACTCCTTATCCATAATTATATGACAATTTGCTGATGAGATATTTGGACCCAAAGTTAACATTGTTCTTATGGGGAAGAAATCCAACATGGCTTCCACTAAGGAAGACTCTTAAGAACCTGGTACTAAAATCAGTTGCACCTTTGACTATTAATGGTTGCACGCACATCTTCAATCATAAAAAGCTGAAATCAGTTCTATGCTCTCTTTGCTAACCCTCCCTATTCAAACTTCGATTTTCCCTATATGTAATATAAAAGCCATTGAACTTAACTTTGGTCAAGTAATATATTTATACGTATAAAAATTGATTCATTGGCAAGAAAATCAGTTAATTCCTATGTCTAACCATGAATCACGAATGTTACCTACACATCCATTAATTCTTTGTTTGAAGTTCATTGTTGGTGATGGTGAGTTAATGTTGTTCAAAGGTTTATTGCGGACATTTTCCATCACGAATGTAAAAAAACAATACACAACGTTTCGGGATCTGGAATCTGATCCCGTCTTCAGGTGAAAAAACTTAACTAACACATTACAACTAACAGTACACAAACGCCCAACCTAAGTTGGAATACACTACCGAGGGTAGTAGTCAAAAAATATGCACTGTATAGCAGTCAAGTCATGATACAACATGCAATTAATAACAAATCACAAAACACTATAATCTATAAAAGGTTTACGTACAAAAAACTCACACAATGGAACACTAACAACACCGTACGCTATGACTCCACCAATGAGACTGAACCAACATGGCTGACCAATCGGAAACACGGAGACAACAAAAATGGCTTCCGGTCCCTGGAAAAGTAAAACCAACAAAATGGCGGAGCGATGTACGATGCCGCAAGATGGGTGTTAATTATGTTTATTCATATCACGAGTTTTACTACGAGTTAACATAACGTGCGAATTTTGAGGAGAACTCGTCATTTCCCTATTTATTGAACAATTAAGTTCCCTATCCTTTAGTTCCTTGTTCAAAATGGGTAGCCAAAGTGGCCTTATTTCAACCGATGACTGACTGATTGGTTGGTCTGCTAATTTAATGTATGAGGCTTCAATGAGTTTACGTTTGAAAAAATGAGGTTCCTTATGGACAATTTTTGCCTCTTCAAAATTCATACGATGATTTTCGGACCAGCAATGGGATGAAAAAGACCGTTGAACATTAGAATCAAAGAACACAGAGAAAACACCAAAAAAGGTTTAGTGGAAAAATCTAAGATCGCTCATCATTGCTGGTCCGAAAATCATCGTATGAATTTTGAAGAGGCAAAAATTGTCCATAAGGAACCTCATTTTTTCAAACGTAAACTCATTGAAGCCTCATACATTAAATTAGCAGACCAACCAATCAGTCAGTCATCGGTTGAAATAAGGCCACTTTGGCTACCCATTTTGAACAAGGAACTAAAGGATAGGGAACTTAATTGTTCAATAAATAGGGAAATGACGAGTTCTCCTCAAAATTCGCACGTTATGTTAACTCGTAGTAAAACTCGTGATATGAATAAACATAATTAACACCCATCTTGCGGCATCGTACATCGCTCCGCCATTTTGTTGGTTTTACTTTTCCAGGGACCGGAAGCCATTTTTGTTGTCTCCGTGTTTCCGATTGGTCAGCCATGTTGGTTCAGTCTCATTGGTGGAGTCATAGCGTACGGTGTTGTTAGTGTTCCATTGTGTGAGTTTTTTGTACGTAAACCTTTTATAGATTATAGTGTTTTGTGATTTGTTATTAATTGCATGTTGTATCATGACTTGACTGCTATACAGTGCATATTTTTTGACTACTACCCTCGGTAGTGTATTCCAACTTAGGTTGGGCGTTTGTGTACTGTTAGTTGTAATGTGTTAGTTAAGTTTTTTCACCTGAAGACGGGATCAGATTCCAGATCCCGAAACGTTGTGTATTGTTTTTTTACATTCGTGATGGAAAATGTCCGCAATAAACCTTTGAACAACATCCATTAACTTGAATTTTAAAATGTCACTACAGTACAAATATTATGCCCTACAATAAAATATCTCATATGTCACTACCATGGATGCAGAAACCAAAAGTCTGTAGGTAAACTTATTGTGTAATAGTAATGTTGAAAAATAATAGGAAATAATAATGATTTTTAGCTGATTGGTGACAACAAACAAATAATTAATCATCTCAAGTTCTATTGTAGCCCAACAACGATGACAATAATCTATAAGTCGTGCACGTGAAATTATTCATACCATATTACTTCATCTAAGGTCAAACTATCGGTGCAAACAAAATTTCTTGTTGTTTTTAATTACCTACAGAGAATAAATGGGATGAAAATTTAAGCTTGACAACCCCAACATTTAACTAAACTATAATTTTACTATCTCTTTTTAAGGCTCCAATGTAATATTTTCAATATAAAGAATAATTTGGTAAAAATTTTGCTGAAAATAAGAAAATATTAATTCGTATCGACTCGTAATTTTTTTTTTTACTAACATTTTGTTTTCTAACAATAAAAAAATATTATTTTCCAGGACAAAATACGCTAGAACAATCACAAACTATTATTTTGTAATTTATTTCATGCTAAACTAGGGTAATATAATAAAGTATTGCATAGACAACTTTTGTAGCCTATTGCTTTTTATAGGCTAAGCTTGGCGAATAATAATACGTAGGTTAGTTGAATTTACTTACCGCAATACTGCAGTGAATCTTCAGAAAAAAGATGCATGTTGTCACAGGAAAACCAGCCTAAAAATATATCCGAATATAAAATTTAACACTAATCATTTTGAATAAATTTCTACTAAACACACTCACAAACACATCACGATAAATTACCAACATTTATTACATAGACACGGCGTGTAGTAACATGAAAATACATTCAACGAAACGAAACACCGAACGTGACAACAATGAACCAATAAGAAACTTTATTAACAGCTGATTTTGCAAGTCCTCTACTCGCATGATGTCATCATCATGCGAGTAGAGGACTTGCAAAATCAGCTGTTAATAAAGTTATTGGTTTTGGTTTGTGCCAACATTTCAATACGTTACAAGCTACAACACAACATACTGTATTTAATGAAAAGAGGATTAGCTAATTATAA